ATATGTTCTCCTCTACTGCCGTTCTAAGGAAGAACGCCGTATGAACATTCGAGAGTTTCCAAATTTCCATCAAAAAAATGTCTATTTTTGAGGAAAGATGTAAATATTTTTCCTCGAAATTTTCAGGGACTTTAGGTGAAATTGCGAATAACATTATCTGAAAAATTGGAAGAAAAATATTCATAAGTTTACCAGGAAATTTGCGGTTTATCAAAGGAAACTTAGCAACGTTTGAAGGCTCATACGGCGTTCTTCCTCAGCACGCCAGTCCAGCCTTGGTACCCGCAATTGTATTTTTTAAAAAAAAATGTATGTCTCGTCACGGACTGCTCAGTTTTCATTGAATTTTATTACATCCTGAACTTTTAGTCTCGACAAAAATTTTGACCCAAAAAATTTGGTGATAGCATTGAAAATGCGTCTCGAATGATTGTCACATATCAAAAGGCAAATTTTTTTGCAATACACTCTTGGAACGCACTCTTGGAGTTATTTTGAAATGCTTCTCGGTCAACTTGTTTGCACAAATCTCTGATCGTACAGCGTGATGCGATGCTCGAAAATTCTACAGAAACGTCCATAAATCCAAGAATAATCAATTGATCGATCGATCATTGAATCGGGGTGCTCTATAAGGCTTGCAGCAGGTCGATTATTGAACCATTCGCGACTGACCTTGATCGATAAATAGCATTGCCGAGGTAGAGATTTATCGATCAAGTTCATTCGATAACGATTAAACAATGGACCCACTGTAAGTCGACAATTGAAGAAATATCGACTGACCTTCCCCGATAAATAGCAATACCAACATGGGGATTTTTCAATCATGTCCATTCGAAAACGAGATTCAATAATCGACCTGCTGATTTACCTTAAGAGACAATTCGTCGTTTCTCCGACGAACGAACGAAACTCTACACCTCAGGTTGCAAAATTGACCCCAAAATGTCAATTTTTGTTAGAATATACCCGTTCAATTTTCGCCCAAGATTTTTCCCAATTCTTGCTCAAATATCAGTAGAACAGCCAGAAAAATTCTCAATCAGAAATTCACAAGATCCTCCTAGTGAAAATGCCATTTCTAGAGGAAATTTGGCAGCATTGAAATGTAGTTACGTTCTTTCGTGAGGGAGGCGACAGATAAACCCGGGTTAAAAACGCTGTCCTTCCAGTAAAATGAAGGGGCGCTGTGTCAGTAATTATCCTCTCGACCGACATGAAATTGACCAGTGACGAGGCGTGAATGATCGATTATCGATATTCCCCCATTTGCAGCTATGTTAAAGAATCGATCATTAAGGTGTTCGTTGCGAACACCCTATATCGATCCTTTTCCATAGGTTCAAATGGCAGATCAATCGATATATCAGAAAGCACGCCACGTCACCGAAGTTGAATGACACCGAGGGTTATCAACGGGGGAATTACAGCTCGTTAATCGGAGGGGGGGGGGTGGGGGCGGGGAGCATTAATTGCACTCCACCGCGCGGGATGAAAATAGTTGACATGCAGGGTTATCGCGATGCGGGTCACTCGACGTTAATCGCCGCTTAAGCGAGAAAAAGGACTTACATGACTTGACACTTTCAATTTCCACGAGTCAATGCTCCCGAGAGCCGGCGTTCCCTGCGATGATCGGCAAAATTTATTGGCGCTAGTGGAGACGAGTCCAATGCCGAGTTAAGTGATAAAATTTCATCAGAATCGGCAGAGTCACCGGGCTGATTGTTGAAATTGATAGACAAAGAGATAGACTAAGAAGACGTAAGGAGTATGGAGCGATCCTATCGGTTGGAATGGGTGGTTCTCATAGACTATGGGAGAAAATGATGGACTAAACATAGGGTCTCTCGTGGTTTGCCATTAGTTAGTCTATTACATACCCTCTTTGTCCATTGGAACCACCCGCCTCCAGAAAATAGGATTCTTCCATATCCTTTTTGTCTTCTTTGTCTATAGCTTTGTCTACCAGTTTCAAAAATCAGCCCGTTGGGCGGTAAATTTGAAAATGCGTGTTATGAACTACGCAAATAGTGCCCTCAGGAGGAAGACATTAGGGAGTGCGGAGCGATCCTTCTGGTTGAAATGGTGAATGGTTCCTATAGAGTAAAGGGAGAAAATGATGGACTAAACATAGGGTCTCTCGTGGTTTTCCATTAGTTAGTCTATTACATACCTTATTTGTCTATTGCAACCACCCGCCTCCAGAAAATAGGATTCTTCCATATCCTTTTTGTCTTCTTTGTCTATAGCTTTGTCTACCAGTTTCAAAAATCAGCCCGTTGGGCGGTAAATTTGAAAATGCGTGTTATGGACTACGCAAATAGTGCCCTCAGAAGAAAGACATTAGGGAGTGCAGAGCGATCCCACTGGTTGAAATGGTGAATGGTTCCTGAAGAGTAATAAGGGAGAAAATGATGGGACGAACAGACTAACTATAGGGTTTCTTGTGGGTTGCCGTTAGTTAGTCTATTACCTACCTCTTTTGTATTGTAGCGACTCAGTTCCACCAATTGGATCCATCTGTTTCCTTTTTGTCTTCTTTGTCTATTGCTTTTTCTACCAATTTCAACTATCAGCCCACAAAGTGGAGGATCAGTAAAACGTTACTTTCGGAGTAGGGGTGGTTGTGAGCAGTGGCGTGGTGTGGCGTGATTTGCGATGTATCGATTGATCTGCCATTTAAACCTGTGGAAAAGGACCGATAAACAGGGTGTTTGCAACCAACACCTTAATATTCGATTCTTTACCAATGGGAAAGTATCAATATTCGATTCTTTACCGTGCCCAATAGGAAAGTATCAATATTCGATCATTCATGCCTTGCCATCGGTTGTTAACCATATTGCTCTCTGAAAGGCCATGACAAATCTCATGAAGACTCATGAAGAATATTGGATTCTTGAAAGTTATTTTTGCCTCATCCGTTTTCGCCGTTGAACAGCCAGTCCTGTTTCTCTTTTCGCATGGGCTTAGGGGAATTTTCAGAAATAAGTCTGAGGGCGAACTTTGGAAATAAGTTATGGAGAGGTCTCATTCCAAGAATCGAAAAGTATCAAAATATACTCCAGGGATCATCCCCGATCGATGAGAATTTCCGCTCTTTCCTCGAGAAGCCGCTTTAATGCTCGTCATGCACAAGCGGTCGTTTTTGAAATCCTAAAGAGAACTTGCTTTTTATTAAGTAGAAGAGAATGATTCTTAGGACGTTGAATCGACTTTTTTATGGAAAAATTCCTCCTTTTTTTGTAAAATCTAAACGGTTTTCAGAAAGCGAATTTTATTTGAAGTTCCGAATCTCTTCGGGGAGTTCTGCCCCAGTCTGTCTCATCATTCACTATCACTAATGGACATCGTTGCTACCAGATTTGACCAATCAGATCCGTTGGTTTTCGATGGGTCAAACCTTTTTTAAAACCACCTCGCAATGCGGCAATGGCCGGATATACCTACTTGCCGCCCGTGGGCCGCCTGTATTTTGCCGCCCTCTTCTCATTCATTTTGAAACATCAATAAAAACCATCAAGTGGACGTGCCGGAAGGAGAAGGGTGCATAAGACGCGTTCACTCGTGTTGGACACATTTCTTGCGTAAGCCCTGTCAACACTACCAGCAAAAGTTCACGGAATTTCGCGCGTAAGTTCAGTTCCGTAAACCTATCTCTGTGGGGACGATGCCTTTCATTTGTAAGAAATGAACTAAAAAATTAAGAAAGAACAAACAAGAGTGTGGTTTAATAATTTAACTTCCGCCGCCGTGCCATGTCGCGCTGACCACACTGTATTTGGCGCAATGCGTGAAGTATTCATGTAGTCTTGTAGGCACTGTGCGTTTCACGCCGCGCCGACCGCTGTTGACCTTACTGTGTTTGACACAATGCGTGAAGTATTCATGCAGTCTCGTAGGCGCCAATATGTGTTACATGCCGACCGCTGCGTCGAGGGCTTCTCCTTTTCATCTCAAGTCCTCGTCATCATTTCTCCTTGCGCCGCGCCGCTCTAGGCCAAATTACGTGTTTGGTTTCTCTCTTAACTCAACTAATTAAAGGTGCGCAGTCTTTTGTATCACCGAAATACGGCAAAATTAGAAATTAATGAACTCTCATGAAATGAGGGATTTTGTCACCTTTTCTTGTTTGTAATTTTTTTCTGAATCCGATTTTTTTGTACCTGCATTTAAAAAAATTGCAAAATTTGCCGCCCCCTAATTTTTTCGCCATGGGCCTCGGCCCGTGTGGCCACCCCCTTAATCCGGCCCTGAAAACAGCCGTATTTTCTGATTTCTGCATGCTTGCGTCGTTACAGTTTTGATGAATAACACCAATACGGTCAAAAGTCGGCAGAGGTGGTAGTACTGTGCCCAGGACAGCAGGATACATTTTTCTCTCGAAGGATATCGTGCGCAATGCACATACTGCTGTTTTACCGCAAGTGTCGTCGTTTTTTTTGCACTTACTGCTCTCTTACATCGTCGTTTCCCTCCCAAAAGAACGCAACAACATTTCAATGCTGCCAAATTTCCTCGCGGGCATTGATTTTTTACCAGAAGAAAGTTGGAAATACCCAACTGAAAATTAAACTGATTTTCCCTCTAATCTTGTGCAAAAATCAGACACATTTTCCATGAAAATGACTCAGGTACATTCTTGTAAAAAAATGATTGTTACAGTCAATTTTGCAGCCTTGGAATGCTGAATGGAGTTACGTTTCTTCGTCCGAGAAACGACAACATCTCTCGATTTAGCAAATCAGACACATTTCGTTGTTTTAGCAGAATCACTCAGTTTATTTAAATCAGATGATTTGAATTTCGCAGTACACCTATTCTCGAAAATGCTCTCTTCGATAACGCGACCGGCAGTGCTCTGCGTTGGCTGATTCTACACACGTGTTCAGCGAGAATTTCTTTAGCTGTATCTTTGATGTATTCAATATATTGGAGCTGTAAATTTCTGATTACTTTACTAATTGAAAGCGTTTGCGTTTCTGTGTGCCCAGGTGCGGTCCGCTGGAAAGTCGACCGCTGATTAAGAATCGGAGAACGGGCTAACACGGCCCAAGAAGATTCAGTTCTACGGAAAATCGTCTTCGAGAAGCACTGAACGATCTCAGTGGAAAATCGGACGTCACAAGCACAATGTCAATAACATTTCCCCGACAAAATCCGACCCGACATCCATAAACCGTAAGTTCAAATTATCATGGTTATATTTATCAAAATAATGGATAATTTGCCCGAGAAAATGTCATTGCTTCCTGCGTGAACGTGCTTGATGAGCTGCATTTAGACAGCGAAATTCCAAAACCCTGTATCCCGTTTGCGGTGTCTAAAAATTTCCACTCCTATTTAATTTTTTTAAAAGACGAACAAGTCAGCATTGTTCCTTGAAGTTTTACAGAATTTTCTTCGCACTTGGAGGAATAACCACTGCAGTTTTTGAGAATTTCTGTTGAGTAGCTTTTCGTTTAAAAAATAAATTAGGTATGACAGGAAGTCTGCAACGTCGCAAACCGGGATACGCGGTTTGAAAGTTTCACCGTTTTTTTGCAGTATTTTACGTAAGTTCTTTCTGACACGGGAAATAGGAAAAAAGCTCCCAGCGGTTGCAATTTTAGGAGAATATTAAGAGATAGAATGTCGAGGGATGAATTGGACGTATTTCTGTCAAACAGAACTATGCGCATTTTGACGTGAGCCCTGTTATGCATGTATTCTTATGGGTATCAGGGCATCATGTCCCAATGCACTTAGTTCTGTTTGATTGAAATACGTCCAATTGACGAATCCATCGCAAAGAGGAAATCCTCAATTACGACCATTCACATCACAAGCACAAAACAAAGGTAGGGAGCAATCATTTTGCCAAAACATCTTCGTGCTTTTTTTCTACACGAAGTCAGTATAAATAATGGAAAAATACTCGGGACAAAATGTCACAAGAATGGAAGTGCTCAACTGAAATTTTTAAGAGTTGCATTTCGTGCGCTGTATAGCATAGCGTGAACTCAGTTACGAATCTTCTCTTCTCTCCAAGCTTCATGATTATTGAAAGTCTCAAGTTGAATGCCTAAATTCTTAATGTGTCAGAATTAAGTAAGTAGAAAAACTTCAGGAGAGATGATCAATGGTGAGTAATAAATACATGCGCATATCCAGAATTTCTTTATTTTACTCTATCAGCTGATGGACAGTTGTTCGTAATAAGAATGGTTTTCTTCATACAATGATAACTAAGTAACGCAGTACTTTCGAGGTTAAGATCTTAGAGGTTCAATGTATATAGCTGAGGCGAGAAAGAGTTTTTATTCAAGAAGTTGCACGCCCCCCTCATTGAAGGCAGAAACCTTCTTAAGAACAGTTTCCTGGGTAGATTAATTTTCGGTAGAAAGAAATAAAATATTCAGCCATTCTCTCTCGTCCGTTCCTCTGTTATTTAAATCTGCACTTTTAGAGCTTGTTTACGGTCCAAATATTTCACACTCTGCTGATACGACCTTTATTATATCACTCAAACGATACGTCGTAAACTAAAATATGTCAGCTTCCCTTGGCGAGTTAACGCAATGTCAGACACGCTGTAGAATACTGCCGTGTTAAGGAAAAACGCCGTATGAACCTTCAAGCGTTGCCAAATTTCCATTGATAAAGCACGGATTTCGTGGTAAACTTATGAATATTTTTCCTCCAATTTTTCAGATAATGTTGCTTGCCATTTCACCTAAAGTTCCTGAAAATTTCAAGGAAAAATATTCATAACTTTCCTCATAAATAAACATTTTATTGAAGGGAATTTGGCAACTTTCGAATGTTCATACGGCGTTCTTCCCTAGCACGGCAGAATATTAAGCAACCGAATTTCAGTCGTTTGATCGTCGTCACCGCTTTTGTTTAGAGCTTTCCACTCAGAGGTGAACTTTCTTTCCCTCGGGTTGTTTTTCACCGCGATCTCTCTTCAAAGCTTCGAGCCGCTTGTTCATTTTGAAAAGCACGTTACGCAAACTGAACCCCTACGAAACTCCCAATAACTTACGACGTAGTTTAGAAAACCACCACATGGTCTCCCGTTTCGCTTCTGTCGTAATTTTTTGATAAATGAAGGTGTGTTTACGCAAATCGGGGTCGGACTGTGGGCTGTGTCGTGTGTAGGTCAGTGCGATCCAAGGTCGGCAGACTCAGGTCAGTCCACCGGCAATGCGTGCATTCTTGCCAGACTGTGCTGAAAATTCAGCTAACTTCCCCGTTTAATTCCATGTAAAATATGCTGGGTTTTCACACAATTTGGCAACATTGAATGCGTGTAATCTCTCCGAATCCGCCCAACCGGTCAAGATTTAAGTTTTTCCCGTCGGGTTATTTACGTTTCCGGTCTTCCTTCATTTTGGTTCCCTTGAAGTTTTTTTTGCGAGTCTCGAACAGAGCGATGAGGAAAATGAAAATGACATAATAAGAACAAATCACCTTAGTGTATATCAAATCTTAACGCTCAACACGGCAGATATGATACTAATTGATTTATCGGAGGGTATTCAAAGGTCCAAATATTGTGATAGATTCGGAAATAAGTTCGGTATTTTTATAGTTTGCCTAGAAATCACAGAAGAAAGTTAGGACATTGTCCTCAAACGTCCGGAAAAATGTTTAATTTACATGCAAGTGGTGGATCTGAATGATTTGTTCCCAACAGAGCCTCAGATGAATGCTGGACTGCGAGATTCGAGAAAATCAAAATAATGCTCCTTTCTCACAATTTTCAGAAATCATCAGTTTATTCACATTTGCTTATTTTAAATTCCAATAAGTTTCCAGAAATTCTAAGTCCATTGATTTTTATCAACATTTAGCAAGTTCCAAACATGCCTTTTGAATTATACATGTCATACATGTACGCGAAATTTTAGTGTCTCAGCTGAGGATGGAAAATTGGCCGATGGTCAGGAATAAGTATGGAATTGTCTGCGTTGAAAATAAAGTATGAGCGAGAATTTTACGTATTTACTTAACCATACAGTCAAAAAATTAAAACTTCATTCTTGAGAAAAACTACAAAATACCTAAATCCTGATATTCTCAGAATGGCGAGGATTATTTCGCTTTATGCTCTGAAATACCCAGGTCATAGCAAAATATAAACCTTATACTTAAACCCGGAAATTTTAGAATTTTGTCTATAATCTGAGCGATTAGTGAGTAAAAATGGAAAAATAGCCATCGATAAGGTTACATCAAGACTTCGAACAATGGTGCGCGGCATTGCGACGGCCAGGAAAGGAATAACGCCTTCAATTGATTGTACATGCCGCACGCTCATCCGTGGAGTTCGAATAGTCGCATCCAAGATACATCAAACAACGGCTCGTGGCACTGCGAGGGCCAGGATAGACAAAACGTCTTCAATTTCTTGAGTATCCTACGCGCTCATCCGTGGAGTACGAATAGTCGCATCCAAGCGACTTTTTCGATTGGGCTTCTGCAGATCGAGCCTTGTAGAAAAATTTCCTCTAAGCCCTCCC